AAGCAGAAAGAAAATTATATAGACTAAAAGATAAAAAAGAATCTAACCACACTGTGCATAGATTTGAGAAATCTGTCCTCAACTAGACAGAAAAAGTAAAACTTCAAGGATTACAAACATTCTTAGACATTTTGATGATTATTACATTTTCAGGCATAAACTCTAAAAAATAAAGTCATTCTGATCTTGTGACTATCCCAGGATCATATTTTTCCTTATGAAATGTGTGTCTTATATAAGAACCTCAGGCATGCTGTGCTTCAGAGTAATGGCCAAGACAGTACTGTAACTGTGGAAAAACACAGTGGCAGGACAGTGGTCTCTCCACATGTGACATATTGTTCTACATTTTGCCTTGTATTATAATTTTTTATTTTAAAGGGAATAGCAAAAACAAATAACAAGAACAAAGGTAGAAACAAAGCGAGTGCAACAGTACAAATGACACAGAATTTCAAAGCAAGAGTAGAAAATTAACAATGGTTATTAGGTTGCGTATTGTTATCTTCAGATTTGTCGCTTAGGTTACCAGATATGGATATGCAAGATTGATCAAACAATTAAACATTAGCTCTTCCTTCAATAAGCTTTAGCTGTTTTCCTTGTCCATCTTACTTTTTTTTTTATTTTTGAAGATGGATAGTAATAATAGATAAGACATTAGAGAAAATACACATATAAAAGAACAAGATGAAAGGTATTCAACCATGGTTGCTACATTGCTGTCCTCAGTGTAGTCGCTCAGATTACAGATATTAGCATTTTGAGTTAACCAAGATAAACACTTTAAACATTAACCTCTACTTTCAAAAAACTGATAGAAATTAGTACAATTATCTCAGCTACCCAGTACATACACTTACATAATTTTTTTACCCCTTCCTTTTCCCCTATCTATTCTCCTTTCCCCATCTTCATTGTTTATTCCTTATGTTCAGTTTCTTTTCATTTTACTATATCTGTAGTATCTTTCAGATTTTCTTTATATTTTCTACATTTTGACATGTATTACAACATGTTTTACGCTAGGGAGACAAGATGATGTTTATACATGTGGGTCTGTGCATGTGTGTGTGTGTGTGTGTGTGTGTGTGTGTGTGTGTGTGTGTTTTAACTGTTTCAAAAGCGTGCTGCTTTGCCAAGGCGCACTTTGCCAGACTACAGCCTAGGACCTCCGCCCTCATGCAGGTGTCAAATTTGAAGGGGCCAGGGAGATATCTCAGTAGAATAAGCGCTTGCCTGGCAAGTGCAAGGGCCTGAGTTCAATTCCTGGTTCCAC